GCCAACTCAAAAGCAAGCTATTCTCTCTTTTTAAATCTTTTAGAACTTAGAAGTTTTTGATTCTCAAAGGCTTGATTTCGATTATTTCGCCATCGTGACAGATTTACTTTGGTTCATTATTTTATAAAGATATTTTTTTCTTAAACCAAGTGATGGATGGATTCTTTTTCTCATATCCAATTAATTCTTTGAGTTAGGTCATTGATTTCAAAAGATGATTTTACCCTAACAAAACGTCTGGGCTAAGGGTAACCATGATGGGATATTCTACCACTCTTTAGATTGTTGCGATTGTTAACTCATTAACCCACATGTTTTTAAATCAATCACATGGAATACTACATCATTTTCATGCCTTGGTTTAAAACAAAAAAAATGTTTGCAATTGGTCTGTTTCTTTTGTTCCCTCCTCCTTTTTAATATGTCAAAAGGGGGAGAAGTTTATGATGTTTTTACACTTATCGGTCCTAAAATTTTACTGCCAACTATCTTCGTTGTGTTTTGCCATCATCAAAAAGGGGGAGATTGTTGCAAATCTATTTTCTTGAATTATGTTTTGATGATTGACAAACACTATTGATTCTCTTGGACTGCTTGTTACTTCTAACTTTTCAGGAATCGAAGATCGGACGAACAAACGAAGCTAGTTCAAGATTGTGTAGGTTTAGGGTTGAGTCAGTCTGTACTTTATTTTTTCTTTTCTTGAGTCTATTTGTAATGTTCAAAGAGACTGATGTTAAGTAACACTACACATACACACTTGAGAGACTTAGAATTTCTATTTTTACTCATACCGGTCAGGATGATATTTACATCGTCTTGGACGATCGGGCTTAAGACAGAAATCTAAACAAGGATTCTTAATTAAGGAAGCCGTCATTAACAGATCGTCCTGGACGATAAGCTCAAAATAGAAAGAAATTGCCGCCATAGACATTTAAGGTATACTGTATTTTTTAATAATCGGCCAGGACAATCATTGATCGGCTTGGATGATATTCACAAATTATGCATTAATTATTCAGGAAATCAAAAGAGTAATTAAGGATGATTGATACGATCATATCGTACTGGACGATCGCAAGATCGGCTAGGACGATCTATTCAAAAACCTTGGTTACTTCAGGATGATAAATATCAGCCAGCTCGAATTCAGGATAATGCTCTAGACGATTTTCCTCTGATTTGAACTGATCGGCTAGGACGATCATGAGATCAGCCTGGACAATCAAGCCAATTTTAAATCATACAGTTTGCATTCAGGGTGATGCTCTAGCCGATCTTCTGAGATTTGTACTGATCGGCCAAGCCGATTTCCATATTGGCCTAGACGATATTGTCGGCAACTTGCAATTAATGAGCTCCTTTGAAGCTCTTCTATTTAAGAGCTCTTGTTCAATATTTTGATCAACCTTTTTGCTGCTGCGACCTGATAAGGCCTTGAGGAGAGAAAGAGAGAGAGGATCTTGTGAGGGGGAGCTTGTGAGGGGATTCACAAGGGTTGCTTCAAGGATCGCTCTGCTTCTTCTTTATCTAGAGTTTCTCGTCCGTGGAAGGGTCGGTAGAGGTAAGGAGTCAGCATCTGTTTGTGGTTCTTTGCCAGCGTCAGGTGGAAGCAAAAGGAGATAGGTTCTCTGCCTTGCTGGGGTGGCAAAAAGAGGTTCTTTGTGAGAGCTTCTCCGCCTAGCCGTGGGGGCTAAAGGAGAGTCACGTTTGTAGTGCAATACTTAGAGGGTGCCTCCAAGGAGTAGACGTAGGTCAAGTTGATCGAACCACTATAAATATCTGTGTTATTATTTTCTTGCTTCCGCACTTTTAATTTCCGCATTTATTTTTCTCATGGTGTGATTTTGGTTTATGTAATTTTTGTTCTTTGTGAAAAAAAAAAATTAAAATTCCAATTCACCCTCCCTCTTGGTTAGCTTGGGACTAAGTTCATAGGGCTTAACATCCCTAACAAACTTTCAGACTCTATCTTATCGGAGCTCCTACCCATGTAGCACATCTGTCAGAGTAGTGACCCACTACTAAAGTTATTACACGAAGAATACATCTGCCAGTGTTACGGGCCAGTACTACTTCTAAAAATCCTTCTAAGAGAGTCTCTGTATTTAAACAGCTTTCACAGCTAGAAACCTCAGCCACCAAGAGAGTTGTGATTGGTTGGAGGATTTCTATGGTAGCTATAAACACCACAACTCTATCAATTGGGTTACCTGCACCCGGGAAGGATGATACTGAGGCCTCCTCATCTGATGGAAGGCTTACAAGAAGGCTGAGGAGAAAGAAAAATATTGAAATTCAAGCTTAGCAACAATTCTTAACCCATCCCTCCAACCTGTCGGCCCAAGAGCCAGAGGCAATGATTCCCACCCAAGAATGGGTTTACAGGTATGAAATGGGTGAAGAGAAACAACTTCATTGGTGGGCTTAAGAAGTTATTTTGAGATCAATAGCCTGAAGTCCTAGCTCCTTAGAAGGAGCCTAAAACTCTCAGCTCGGGTCTACCATAAGACTATGAAAGAAAGATGACTGAAGAAGAGAAGATATTAACGACCACTGATGGTCGAGACATGGAGAACTCCGCCAAAAGAATGCTTATATGTTATGATGGAGAGAAAAAAAAGAAAATATTTCATGTGTGGTGAGCATCGAGGCATGACACCTGAACCTCGGGTTTAGGGATCCTCTATTGAAAGGTCCTAGAGGAAAAGAAAAGAAATATGGATGCCAATGCCTCGTAGAGAAGAATAAGAAGATAGAAGATAAAGAAGAACTGATTTAGGCGTGACATCCAATGAGGCTTCCCATAGATTTGCCTCCAAAATTAGACAATGTCAAAGATAGGTCCCAAAGAGGACCCATGATGATGCCCCTCCCGATGGTCGACACCTTGGAGAATCCTCCAGGGGATCCCGTCGTTTGTTGACCTCTTAAATAGAAGAGACTAACTTTGACCGTAGCCCATTTGTCGAAGAAATCTCCTTGCCTAATCAAGAACTTAAGATTTAGTGGCGTCGCCGCTCAAAGACTCGTATACTAGAAGGGGAAGGAGAAGAATACATAAAAGAAGAGGAATATATCAAAGGGGAAGAAGAAATGAATCAAATAAATAACACCTTGGACATGGAAGTGGTCTACATGGTGAGACATACCAATGCCGATGATGAGGACTACTATGATGACGGTGAAGGCGATGGCCATTGGCAACAGCCAGTTAGGCAAGTATACCGATGCCACCATGAAGCTGGGTCCACCACTGGCGGAGGTGGTCATTCTCAAGAAGAGGACAAAGTAGAAAGGAATATCCTTGATGATGAAAATAGCACTCACCGACATGAGAAGACAGATGAGGTGTCAAATAAGGGTGAAGGATAGAGAAATCTCTCAGTTGAATGTAAAAATGATTGAGATGATGGCTCAAATGGTGACAATGATACAGATGATGTAGTGAAATGTTGCAGTAGGTCCCATGCCCAATCCTCCTCTAGATCCTCCAAACTTTTAAGTACTATAAGTATTATGAGTAAAAGGAGCTCATGAAGGTGATTGCGAGGCCCATAACATTGTCTGTCAATCCACCCCACAAAATGTTGTAAGTACTTCTAACCTTGTGACTGATGCACAGTTGGAAGAAATCATTATAAAAAAGATCTGGGCTATTATAGCTGTTGATCAGGTGGAGAAGTTGGCGGCAAGGGTCGCCCATATCTTGCTGAGTATGATCAGGTGTTATATCGGAAGGAATATTCTATATAAAAATTCAATACTTTTGATGGTAACAAAAACCCCCGGGAGCACCTGGTGTAGTTCAAAGCTACACATACATGAACACAGGGGGTATCGACGCCATACTCTTCCAACAGTTTGTTAGTAGTTTAACAACAGCTACTTTCGAATAATATGTCGAACTGCCAAACAATTTTGTGAAGACTTTCGCAGAATTGGAAACTATAGTCATGAAGAGATACGCCAGTGCGATTGAAAAGATAACGATAATTGACATTGCTTTGAATAAACGAAAAAGAGAAAAACTAGTGATAAAATACATTACTTACTGGCATAATTTAAGTATGAAATATGAGCAGCAACTTGAGGAAGAACACGCCATGAATTACTAATGGGAAAAATCAATGATAAGATGCAGCCATTCTTATGTATGGTTACCATTACCAAATTTCAAGATGCAGCCAAGTTTGAGAAACTAAACTTTTCCAGATCAGAGAGCCATTCTGAGTAACCCAAGAAGGCTAAGGTTGAGGGTACCAGAAGGGGTGAGGCCAACTCTACATTTTTCTCAAGATCCAACAAAGAAAAATATGTGGTTTATAACATAGAAAAGGAAAAGAAACCAAATGTAGTATGAAGAAAAGCCTAAGCAGGTCTACAACCCTAACCCTCAAATGAAGCTACTACTCGAGGGAAATGATATGCCATGAACTTTCTAAGCTTGAGGAGAATGCCCGAGGCAAGCAATAGGAACAGATGATAGAATGTTC